ATGTATTTGATAACTCATTTTAAAGAACGTTTTCTGGCCTTGACTCTCAAATGCCATCTTTTCCTTGAATACCTACTTCTGGCTTTCTGTCTTCTTTTCTGGATACATTTTCTTTGTGTGATCTCTTAATTAATTGCAGCAACAACAATAATAGTTATTATTGTACTAACATTAGAAGCAACTCACCAGAGTCAGTACTAACTTCATACCTGCGTTCTCTAGCCTTGTTGTCAGGTCCTTCAGGGTGGGTTCAAGCTTCCAGCTTAGCTGGCAACAGTTCTCAGATATTTCCACCTGGATTTTTGGAAGGCATATTAACCCATACAAGCTAAATAGACCCCCTCTTTGCACTTCCCCCCTTCCCATCCTGCTTATCATCTTGACACTGTTTAATCCATTGTATAATTAAAAAAAATATGCAAACAAAAACTATGCTTTACATAAACAAACATAACCTGTAATTTAACGTTTTAATTAGAATCTCCCCTGCATCTGTCATTGTAATTTTTTCCTCTTCATCTTCTGTCTGTGCTGTTGTACCAACCTCCTAACCGGTCTCTATATCTCATTGGGTACTCCTCTCAAATCCACAGCCTTTTCCAAATTTAAGTCAGAACACACATCATTGCTTAAACTCTTGAGTAGTCCCCTAAGTGCTCCTGGATAATGTCTAAGCTTTTAAAACATGATTGAATGTAGCTCTCCTTGTCTTGTTTCTTACGTCCCTTACATCTCTCGCTTCTCCTTTTACATATTCTACAGCCATGTCATGCTGTTACCTGACATTTGTCCTAGAAGCTCTCCATATGCCCATCTTTCACCTGGCTGACTCTTAATTTACTCCTTTCCCAGGCTCAGTTCCCTTGTTTCCTGGTCTCTTGCCTTTTGTTCCCAAAGTGTCCAATGTATAGCACTAGCATTAAAAAAAAAAAACTGTTAAAATGTTCTGTTTGTTTCACTTTCCTCATTTTACTTTGAGGACCTGGAAAACATTTAAAAGAAATCTTATATACCAGGGTCTTCAGAGGGTTCATGGGAAAGGGAATGGAAAGATAAAGAAACCTTGGCATGCCGATAGTTTTTATTAAATGATGAAAGAACTTCTTTCCCCAAATTAGAACCTGGAAGTTTTTTTTCCCCCTGATTTCCTCTCTCGCATCAAAACAATTCCAGGTCTAAATTTGTTTTTCTTCAGACGTATATATTTGTATTCTTGCATTCATATAGTCCTTTATTTGCAAATTTCATAAAACTATACTATGTGCCAGTACTATGCCCTATGTTAGTATGTACTGTGTACTAACTATATCACATGATGAACACTGCATTAGGTTTATCGTCATCTTCGGAGAATAGCCATCTTTTTAAAAAAATAAATATTTTAAAATTTAGGAGCACAGGTTTATCTTACTCAGATCTCTGTTTAGACACCTGAGTAAAGTTTTTTTTTTAAATCATTTTATTGGGGGCTTGTATAGCTCTTATGACAATTCATCCATCCATCCATTGTGTCAAGCACTTTTGTACGTATGTTGCCATCATTTTCAAAACATTTTCTTTCTACTTGAGCTCTTGGTATCTGCTCATTTTCCCCTCTCCCACCCTCCCTTCCTCATGAACTCTTGATAATTTATTAATTTTTTTCCCCATGTCTTACACAAACTGCTGTCTCCCTTCACACATTTTTCTTTTGTCCATCTCCCCTAGGTGGGGATTGTATGTAGATCATTGTGATCAGTTCCTTATTTCTCCCCCTACCTTATCCTCCTGGTATCAGCACTCTCATTATTGGTCATGAGGGGGTTTGTATGTCCTGGATTCCCTGTGTTTCGAGCTCTTATCTGTACCAGTATACATGCTCTGGTCTAGCCTGATTTGTAAGGTAGAATTGGGGTCATGATAGTTGGGGAGAGGAAACATTAGAGTGAGAGGAAAGTTGTATGTTTTGTCAGTGCTATACTGCTCCCAGACTGGCTCATCTCTTCCTTGTGACTCCTCTGTAAGGAGATGTCCAATTGTTTACAGATATGCTTTGGGTCTCCATGCTCCCCTCATTCACATCCATAAGGTTTTTGTTCTGGGTCTTTGATGCCTGAAACTTGATCCCATGGACACCTAATGATCCCACAGACTGGTGTGCTTCTTCCATGTGGGCTTTGTTGCTTCTCAGCCAGATGGCTGCTTGTTTACTTTCAACCTTTAAGATCCCAGGTGCTATATCCCTTGATAGCTGGGCACCATTAGCTTTCTTCACCACATTTGCTTATGTACTCGTTTTGTCTTCAGCGATCATGTTGGGAAGGTGAGCATCACAGAATGCCGGATTGTTAGAACAAAGTGTTCTTGCATTGAGGGAGTACTTGAGTAGAGGCCTAATGTCTGTCTGCTACCTTAATACTTAACGTATATATATACACACACACACACAATTCTTTTATATTTTCTAATCCATTACAGCTCATGTAGGAGAAACTGGTTTGATGGTCTTATGTCTGGCCAATTTACTATAAAGAAACTCAACTTCCTTACTATTTTTCTTGCATTTAAAGTTTTTCAAATAATAGTTGTTGTCAGTTAATTATTTTCCCTTGTATTTATGAGTTTGTCTTTTTTTTTTTAATTTAGGTACATTGTTTAGAACTTCCAGTACCATATTGAATATGAACAGTGATACTTGGCCTCCTGTTTATTCTTGCCTTTTACTAAAATGCTTCTTATGTAAGATGTGTATTTTAAATATGTATAATTTAAAATATAAAATTAATAACTAGCTGAGTGGTTTATCTTCAGTCTGTGCTGAATCGTAACAAATGCTTTCTTGGTGACTGTGAAGATAATTATGTTTATCTGTTAGAGACTTATGTATGAGATTTCCTGTACACAGACTTTGTTTACATATTTGCTTTTTCCTGATTTATTTAATGAGTCCCAGATTTGAATACTCGTGTTTTACTTGGGATTTCTTGTCTATATTTATAAAAAAGAGTGTGCTGTAGTGTTCTTTCATTAGTAGTTCCCTGCTTTTGTTTCAGAATTATCCTACCCTTATAGACAGTTTGAAGCATTTCTTTTGCAAAAACAGTTTAAATTTGAACTATTTAAACATCAGGAGTTATTTATTTCTTACAGATTTGATAGAACTTGTCCATAAATACCATTTGATCATCTTTATATTCCTAAATTCTAGTAAAGTATGAGACATTGTTTATGCTATAGAATTTCTTATCATCATAAAACAGTTCATCTTAGAGTAGCATTGTTATGGTTAATTCCACCATGATGTGGAAATAGCTTAAAATGGAGATCAATGGAAGTTTATCTGAATGAATAACCTGCATAGAAATCCTGTGTAGTCTAAACAGGAAGCTGACATTTTGGGGAATGCAGTCTCATTTACATCACTGAGAACACTCATCCAAAACTACCATGCATAACAGACCACAGGTGACCAGTTTACAAACATGTATCCTTGCTTTGGTGTGTTTTTACTTTTATCTCTTTTGAACCTTATTTTCTTCAGGCCCATTAAAGTTATTTCACAGGCAAATACTTTTAAGAGTTGAAGTACTTTAATTTGCATGAAGCTTATTTAATGTATCCATTTTCCTTTTTCCTTCAATATTTTTAGGCGTTCTTGAAATTCTGGGTACATTACAGGAGTAGTTGAACATCTGACTATAATTTTAGCATTACTTGTAAAGCAGTGGTTCTTTAATTGGAGGCAATTTGACAATATTCTCTTGAGACTTCTTTGTCATCGAAGTCATAGAATGAAGGGTCAGGAGGAGTGGGGTAGGGTGTTCTGGGACAGAGGGGCCCCTACAACCAACTAGAGGATAGTGGAACCCTGGGCTACTACTAAACACCCTACAATGTACAGCATAGCCCCCCGTATCTCAAAGGATAATGTGTCCCAAAGTGCCACTAGTGCTAAGGCTGAGAAACCCTGCATCTAAGGGAAGGGGTCTATACATGAATACCAACAGTATCCTCGTGTGCATGTGTTTTCTAGCAACTAGAATTCTGGGTCACTTAATAGGTTACACTGTCCTTAGGCAAAGAGTATGAAGAGTATTCTGCTCTTGACTGACATCTAGTGAGACATTTAAAAATAAACAAAGTAAAGCCAAAGGTTAAGATTAGACATGTAAATTAGAGAGTTACTGCTGACTCTTATTTTCCTCCTGTAGGGGAATTTGCAAGTAATAATAATAATGAAAACCTAGGAAGAGAAAATAATAGCCGCTGAGAAATTGTAACAGAAATAGAATGTAGTTAGTTCTTAGCTTAAGTATTTTAAGCTTTGATATTGACTTATATTCATGATTTAATATTAGAACTTAGAATAAAGATTCTTTTGATAGCTTTCTGAATAAATACTGATCTGCCCATGTCTTAACATTGTTATTGTTATTATTTTGCCTAACTTGATAGAATGTAAATGCTAAAGGAGACCTTGGTGATTTATTATAAATACCTTATTTAGATAAATAATTCAGTTTGAGAGGTGAGGTTGAAGTGATCTTACCCAGTAGTAAGGTGACCAGATTTAAAGCGGGACACCATTGACACCATTGTCTTGATTAAAAATTTGGTTGGTCTGTATGGACCACATAGACCATTCCCTAGCTTGTCGTGCATTCTTTCAAAAAATCGGGACTTTTCAGAAACGCCCAAAATCGGGACTGTCCCGCCGAAAGCTGGACGTCTGGTCACCTTAGGTTTGTTAGTGTCAAATCAAAACCTGAACCCAGAGCTCCTGGCTTCTGGTCGAGTAGTATTCTTCTTACTCAGTAAAGGAAAGTATTAAGCATCTGTTGGATTCTAATAGAAATTCTTTTTTCCTCTCCCATATTTGGGACTGTTAAAACCGTTAAATTGTTATTTTGAGAGAATACCTCCGTAAGTGTGCGTTTAAATGAATTAGGATGCCTGTTTGTAAGCATAGTGTTTAATTTTAATGTGTTTAAATGTGAATGTGTAAAATTTTTGTTTCACAGGCAACTACTCCTCCAAACCAAGGACGAGCAGATTCTCCAGTGTATGCTAATCTACAAGAACTGAAAATATCCCAGTCTGCTCTTCCCCCACTGCCTGGCAGCCCAGCCATTCAGATTATTGGAGAGTGGGAAACCCACAAAGATATTTCCGGGCGTTTCTATTACTATAACAGAGGAACGCAGGAGAGAACTTGGAAACCACCTCGTTGGACGCGGGATGCAACCCTAACCAAAGGAGATTTCCACAGCGCAGGAGATCAAGAGGTATGAGTAATTAAGGAATCAACCAGTTACAGTCATCAAACATTCTCATTCATTATTTAAAGACATAAAAAGTAAAAGGCTTGTTTCATAGTAAATACACAGTAGACCACTTGACACCTGTCATATGCTAATATTCTTTTGATGCATTTTTCACTGCTAATTACCTTCTAATCTCTAGGTAGTGGATAGTAGCTAACCTTGTAGTGTGTTCACCAGCTGGAGATTAAGTACCCTGATTAACATTGCCGAGAGCCTTCTCTCATGTTGGAAGATTCTACTTCAAACAGAATTGTGTAAATGGACTTTTTTTTCCTTTTTAGAAAAAAGGGGTGTTGTAAAAGCAATAAAATTATCTCTTTTTTTAAAAAGGGGACAAAAATAAATAATGGAGCCTAGTCCAATAGATAGAAACAAACTAAGTAATTAAAACAGAGACTTTTCTCTATTGGATAGTAGGACTACCAAATTACTCAGTTTTCCCCTTCTTTGGCTAGATGTACAAGAACACTCTATATCTAAATAAGGAAAGTGATTAAATTATGCTTTTGTTACAGTTGAGTTACTCTGTACATATGATAATTCACTTTAAGAACATTATTTTTAAAAACACATCTTCATCCTATGCTCTCACCTCCACCCTTGATTTCACTTTCCCCCATTCTCATAGAGGGTGGTGCAATGAATCAGCCATTGCTCAACAATCTGGAGTGAAGTCTTGGGACCCTTGGAAATACTAGGGGACCTGGCATAGGATTGAGATCATGAAGTGAACCCTGCTGTTGGGTAGACAGGGAGCCCTGCATCTGCATAGGACACTGTTCTTAAAGAGAGCAGTTAGCTTATACAGTTAAAGCAGAGATCTAGTTAGGTGAAGAGTTGGAAATGTCAGGTAACTGTGTTTCTTTCTCAGAAGCTATAAAAACTTGTTGTGGCTAATAACACTGCCTCCTATTTTACACGCTCCTGTTTTATAGTTGATTCTTTGTAACTTTGGTTTGGTGGTATCTCGTACTTTTAGTGTTCAAAAATGAGTGTTCAAAAATGAGGATAGAGAAATAGTCTGTGTGTAACTATGATAAGAAAAGCGTTAGAAGAATTTTATCTGGATCTAGAGAAGGTCTGGAAAGGTTGGGGAGTAAACCATGTTGTGTATCATTAGTAATGAAGTAAAATCTTATAATTTGGAGAGTTGGGGTAAGGGCTAAACTATTGAGTAGGTTAAAGAATTAAATTTTTTTTTTTTAAACACAGGAACGGTTAAAATGGGTCTCGCTTTCTCGTTGGTAAATAGATTAATATGATTTGTTTGTCAGAATTTCAGCTTACATTACTAGTTTCTGCCCAAATTATATAAAAATAGGTATTTTCAAAGTAGCTGAAGCAGATATTGCAGTACATGCTGGAGACAATTTGTGCATGGGAGATAAAATTGAAATGTGTCTATGACAATATCTATATCATCTCATATTTATTGGATACTTTGCCAGGGCATAGAATTCTAGGTTTGAAATTATTTTATCTTAAAATTGTAAGGCATTTTGAACTTTAGAAGCATCTGGCTCAGATGCTGGTTGAGATATGGTAAACTCTTAGCTTTTCCTTTTAGACCGGAGATTCTCCATAAACCTGTTGTTGAGTTGATTCTGACTCTTAGAGACCCACAATAGGGTTTCCGAGGCTGAACATCTCTATGGAAACTGATTTAGCACAATTTTGCTCCAAGGACCAGCTGGTGGGGTCAAACAGCTCACCTTTTGATTAGCAGTCAGATAAGTAACCACATCTCCATAGAAATCATCAGATTCTCTGCCTAAGAAAGAGAAGAGCTCCTAGGGTCTTCGTAGTCAGCAGTCGGTTTGCATATTGTCCATTAGTTAGTTTTCTTACCTTCTGTTTCAGGCCCACGTTCCAGTTGTGCCTGTTAATTTCTAACCAAGAACCAATCTGGCTTTTTTTTTTTTCTTCAGAAAAGTAAACTGCTGTACTTCCTCTTGGGTAAGGAAGGGATGCACACAGTAAGAGGGGGATTCTGGGGATTTTCAGCCTATTCTTCCCATTACCCCCAGGAGTCTTTAATAACTGTTAGTCTGGACCCATTTGAGGATTCAACTGTGTACACTTGTTGGTTTTCAACCCTACAGCTGCCCGCCCTTATCCTGCCTTGGTGCTTAGACTCTGCTTTCTTGTCTCGTAATTCAGTGGTCTACCTGTTGCTGTGCATCTTCCAGTTTGTGACTTTTGCTGCTTCTCTTCTCCCTGTTCTTGAGAGGTTGTGTCTTAAGTTCACTTCTTTTCAATTATTTTAGTGAGATTTGAGAGGGAGCAAGTATTCAGTCTTCTGTCTTAATATTTTCAAGGTTACTTTAGTGGTTTTCATTTGGGGTGAGTTAGCCTCCCAGGAGACATATGATAGTATCTGGAGACAGTGTTGGTTTTCACAGCTGGAGAGTGCTGCTGGCATCTCTTGTTCAGAGGCCAGAGGTTTTGGTGCACATCTTATGATACATAAGATAGATCCCATCTGTTATGGATTGAACTGTTTTCCTCCAAAATGTGTTTTAAATTCTAGCCTCCTTGCCTGTGGATATTATCCTGTTTAAGGAGTGGATTGTCTTTGTTGTGCTAATCTTACAGGATTTAGTGTAGGGTGTGCCTGGGTCAATCTCTTTAGAGATGAAAAGAGATTAAACAAAGCAAGCTGAGAAGCAGAGATGAGGGAAGAGAGATGTCCAGGTCATTGAGGTTTAGAAGCTGAATAAAGGAGGACCTTCCTCAAAAACAGACATCAAGAGAAAGCCTTCTCTCAGAGCAGCACCTTGAATTAAGACTTCAGCCTCTTGAGCTGTGAGATAATGAATTTCTGTTTGTTAAAGCCACTGCTTGGTGGCATTTTTCTGTCATAGCGGGATTTAGATAACCAAGATGGCATCTTAGTACTTTGTATATTTTAAGCCAAGAGGAAAGCTGAAAGAATAGTGCAATCTGTATATTGTTTACAACTAGGTTGACTAATTGTTAACATTTTGCCACATTGTTTTCTTTCTCCTGTCCTAGCCCCTTACGGACATGTACATGCATGTGTCAGTTTTGTTCTGAATCATTTAAAGCAGATGTTATAATACTCCATTTCATTAGTATAAGGATACTTTTTTTGTAAAACCACAATATATTGATCACACCCTGAAATGTATTATTAGTACATTTAATGTGCAGTTAATACTTTATCTCACTAGTCAAGTAATATCCTTTATAGGTTTTTGTTTGTTGGTGAAGACTCCAGTGAAGGATTATATATTGCATTTTTTATTATGTCTTTTTAGTATTATATTTTGGTTTTGATTATTGGAATACACAAAGTCTTTTGAATCTGACTATGCTGTTTGTTTTTCTATTGATGACACTCATTGTATTTTGCTTCTGTGTATTTTGTGTGCACCTGTGTTTAAGGTGAGTTTATGGTCTTGGAAGTTCATATGTAGGAATTCTTTAATGCTGGAATTGAACGTGATTCCATTAAGAGAATTTGCTTTTGCTTCTGCCACATGCCTAGTGAAAGGAGTACCCTAAGAAAATTTCAAGTGAAATTTCAGCTTATTTTTTTTATAGGTTTTAAAAAGTTGCAATAATTTGGATTGCATGAAGTGTGGTTTATGTTACTTGAATATCAGGACGGTTCCTGTGATTTCCATGATGTAAAATAAGTTTCTGATTGACGTGGGCCCTAGTTTTGTCTTGTGTTTGAAATTCCCTACCTTTGCTGATCTTGAGTGCTGTTCCCCAGCACTTCTGAATGGCCTTGACAACTGAAGGTCTAGTTGGTGGTTTGGCAGATACATCAAGGAGAAAGCTGGTCTCTTCTACTTACCTCTCTGGATCCTTGGTTCCACTTAGCTTTTGATCTTTGGGTCTATAGCAGCTAACATGGTGCTTTTGATGAATTTACTGTTAAAAATTATTATGTAACAGTTTTAGCTATTTTTATCTGCATGACCAGTTGGAATACTACCTGCCATTCTCCTACAAATGGAACAATCACTGCAGCACTCTCATATTTCTGCAATGGCTGTAGAATATGCCCCAGTTACTAGTTATTTAGTATAGTATTGTTAATATTTGGAGAGTGCTTGCTAAATATAATCTTAATTTTTATTGTAAAAACAAACAAACTCACTGCCATCAAGTAGATTCTGACTCAGCAACCCTTTAGGGCAGTGTCGAACTGTTCCTGTGGGTTTCCAAGACTGAAACTCTACCGGGTGCCTTAAATCTAGCAAACTGTCAAGATGTTAAAGTTATTCTTGGTTATCAAGATATTGGAGGTTACTTTTCATAACACGGTGGAACATCTTACTGCCCTCAGATTGCAAGTTATGATGAACACTTTGTTGACTAATAAGTCATGTTTTTGAAAAAGATGGATTCTGATTATTTCCTAAGTAGATTTTACTAGATTGCCCTTTTAAATTTTTTAAGATGTTTTATGCTTTTCCCCCATCAGCTTACATTTCAGTGATCTTAATTAAATGTAAATCTCCTGATCTTAACTTAATTTTTCTTATTTTCAGAAATGTTACTTTGATATAACATTGCTTTTCTGCAGTGTTTTTGCCGACTCTCAATTTTGTGATTGTATTAGTTACTGTTAGATTATATTAAGTTACTTCTATAACATGGGCTCGTCCTGTCTTATCTTAGTGTCTCAGTGCAAATTATAGCAATACAGGTGTGAAAGAGTAAGATTTAACTGCAGAGCTATTTTGCCTAAAGGCGATCGAATAATTTGCTCTGAGGAGTTAATTAAAAATATTTATTGAATGAATGAATTTTAAGTGCAGTAAGCAACGTGCTATTTATTTATACTGTAAGTCTTCTTATTTGAGAAAAATGTAGTAATTTCTGTTTTCCTATGCCCACCGTTATCATAATAACACTATATTACTTACAAACTCAGTTTCTAATCAGACTATGTATTTGAACTTTCTCATTTGTCTTTTTTACCCCTTCTTGCTTTGAAGTTTAGTTTCCAACAAGCTTTAAAAAGCACTTGGTTGATGAGTTAGCAATCAAATTGAATCCACCAATTAAGTAGGATGTGCGATATAGTGCCACAAAGCTCCAGTCCTTTTCTGTATACCCTCTACTGAAAGAAGTTCAAAAACTGTATATTGAGCACTTGCTTTTCAGGCCTTTGTTTGTAGTAAGTAGGTGAGTAGAAGTTTTTAGGGAGCTTAGTATAATGAAGCAGCCTCATTTGCTTCTCTGTGTACTTACAGGTGTGTGTGTGTATATATATACATTCCCCTGTAGTTTTTTAACTTGGTTTTAGTTTGAAAATAGCATTAAGTTGAAAGCAGCGTTTTATCGTTTTAGGTAGAAAACACGGTTTTCATTTTTATTACAGCTTATTTTTCTAGGGTTGCACTAATATAATATTAAAATAACTATTAATTTCATTACTTACATTAGCAAGCACAGTTAAAGATTTAGTAGTTTTCCTTTAAAAAGTAAATATTCAAATATACGAACCATAAGCCACGTAAAGTCTGTTGCTTAGATTTTCAACTGCTGAATATTTATACTTAAAGAAGAAAACCCCTTATGTTTCTGACTATTTATAGCTTCTTTCATCAGAAGAAAACTACCACAGAATTTGTTACAGCCAGTCAGATAGTCAGTGTGGTTCTCCTCCCAGGGGTTGGTCAGAAGAGTTGGATGAACGTGGGCATACCTTATATACCAGTGACTATACTAATGAAAAGGTACATTTGTTTTTTCTCATCTAGTGTTTGTTGGCAGAATCTTCTTATAAAACTAACTGCTGAAGTTTTACTAGTATTAAATGCACTCAAAATATTTTTCATTGTGCTTATGTAATTGTACTAATTGACATGAACACTCAATATAACTGATTCATGGTTTTAAACTTACAATAGTGATTTTTATGGTGCTGATGCCCATTTAAGACAGACCTTCAAGAGTGTAGCCCTTTTGTTGAGTGTCATTCTGTTTAGGCTTCTTTAATAAAAGAAGTCTTCTTCACACAGTGTCGTTCCAGTTAGACTTCTACATTTTTCTTTGAAAAACTATTTAAGAATAGTTTTCTTCAGTGTACCATTATTACACACTCCCTCACTGGTTGTATTTCTTTTTATATTATAACAAAATTTATATAAAATAAAAACCATGAATCTAGTATTTTATGGTTAAATAACTGGATTGGGGTTAAACGTTGAAATTTTCTGTGTGTATTATGCCTAGTATCTGCTGGAGAACTGTTTGGTTGTGATAATTTGGATAACCCTTGGGAATATAAGGGAGTAGACTTTTACACACACACACATACACACACACACACACACACACACACACACACACACACACACACACACCCCTGCTTTCCTGCCTTAATTACAGTAGTTTTTATTTGTTTGACAGTAAAGATCATATTTCTTGCATTAGTAATTCTTACCGTTCCCCAATATTATAGGAGGGGTCTTCAAGAAGTTCATAGAAAAATTCTATTTATCTCTCCCTTTGTGAAGACCCCTTGTAGTAGCTGATTCATGGTTTTAAACTCCTTACAGTGATAGTGATTTTTAAGGTGTTGATGCCTATTTAAGATAGACGTATTATTGTTCTTACTATTGGCTGTAAGAAGGGATTCCTAGGTACTTATGGAAAATGGGGAAGTTTCATGCTTACAGGCTCTTGTTATTTTTTTCACCACTGCTATCATGGTGTAGAGAGTAGAAGTGGGACAGTCAAAAAGTATTGCTACTAGATGTTGTAGTTCACAAATGAATGGGTTTATTCCAAACAAAATGTGTTTAAACACACCCCTATGGTCATTAGATGGCTACAGACAAGTTCTCTGTGATAGCCTTGCCTTTGTCTCATTTAGGGGCCTTAACAAACCTAGTACTGTTTATGCCATGGAAAACCATTTTGCTGTCAGGCCTAAAATTAAATTTTCACGAAGCTCACGTGGCCATTTTCCCAAGTCATTCAAGTTTTACCGAAGTGCTGCTCTACATAAAACAACCATTTTTAGATGGGTCAATTATTTTAAAAGAAGGATGAGAAGACCTTACAGATAAACTGAGAGGGAAGTGCATAAGCCTCAATGAATGAAGAAACGGTGGCTGAAGTCCAGAAACTTTTATGTGATCAATAGCTACAGAAGTTGGGATCTCATGGTTTGGCATTTTCAGCTTTAATTGAACACCTTGTCCCCAGAATGCTTTCAGCTCCACAGGTGCCAAAAATGCTAAGAGCAGTTAACTCAAAGGGCTACTCTTACCATAAGTCTTTTAAGCAAGACTGAGGCCAGTTAAGATGGTTTTGTAGAATGAATCGTAATCAAGGACAAGTTTCCAATTTCTTAATACTGTCCCAAGAGTGAGGAGATCAGCTAGGACAATTAAATCCAAGGCAGAGAAGTCAGCTCAAAAGGTTGCGGTGATAGTTTTCTTTTGGGATGTTTCAGGGATAGTCTTCATAGGTTTTCTTGAACTACACAGGCTAGTCACAGGGACTTATAAAGAAAATTGAAAGCGGCATTGGTGAAAAAAGGCCTGGAAAAAAAGTTGCATTAAGGAATTTTTTCCCATCATGACAATACACCAGCTCATCTTTCAAGGGTAGCAAGGGTCCCCTTAAAAGAATTTCATTTGGAAACCATATTGTATCCACTGTACGGCCCTGACCTTACTCCTCCAGACTGCTTTTTGTTTCCAAAACTTAAATAACATTTCAATGGAATGTGGTTTGAGTCCACCAGGAATTCCAAAATTGCTGTTTTCATGAGGTGTAAATTAAAGAGTGCAGAGTTGGGGGGGGGGTGGGGGGTTAGGGTTAGAGAGGTGTAAACACCACTTTTAAAAGTATGTAGGCCTAGATGATTTGCTGAGAATAGATTCAAATTTCGATTTAAAAAAAAACCTATGATTTTTAGCAGTACTTTTTGACTTACCCATCAGCTATGTATCTGTATATTGTATATTTCTTGATTCTATAGTCTTTAAATGTTGCTTGAATTCCTCATGTGACATAAATGAATGGGAAATTTAATATTTAGTTTAATATTAAAAATCACATTTAATATTGAATATACTAACTTACCAAGTTTAACATCCAAGTCGATGACTGTAAGTTTGCTAAAATTTCAGTGTTACATAGCATCACTTTGAACTAAACAAATTTATAAGTGTCATATCTAATATCTCTGGTTATATCAGTTTAAAAACACCTTTATTTAAATTACATTTACACCTGTTCTGTTTTCATAGTGGCTCAAGCATGTTGATGATCAAGGTAGACAATATTACTACAGTGCAGATGGATCTCGATCAGAATGGGAATTGCCAAAGGTAACAAACCTTAATACCAAATTTCTATTTAGCAATAATATATCAACGAATATCTGAAAATGATTTACAATAGATTTAGTTTTGAATATTTATTCAATTTTTAGAAAGTAGCAAGATTCGTATTTTAGAATTTATTAAGAATCCTGGGGGGAAAAAAAAAGAATCCTGGAACTGGCTACATTTTTTTGAAATATGCACTATCATATAGTGCTGATGATCATTTCTATTCAAATATTCACATTATTTTGATTTAACTTTAAATCATAACTAAGAGTAAGTACTCTTCCTTGCAAATAGTGTCATCTCATTCTAGGTTGTCAATAATGCCATGATTCAAAGATACAGGTTCTTCTTTTGTCTTCCTTATTCATTGTCTAGTTTTGGCATCGCCTCATAGGCTTGCACTTAACAACAGCAACAAAGTCTAGTTATCTTGAATTTTCTACATGAAGTGGGTATTAATATTTAATCTCCTTTTTTAATTGGAAAGAACAGAAACTAAAATATTCAAGTCTATCCTCTTAATCTAAATATTTACTGTAATTAAGCTAGCCATTGGCTAAGACATACAATATATGATTAAGATCTCTTGGGGCCTGGTTGAATGTTTCTTTCCAGATAAGGGAGCCAGGGCTGAGTTTTTTAATATAAGGTAAGTTTCAGAGTGTTCACATACATGTCAGTCTCTTTTACTACTCGACGCAAATGATTTTGACTACTAACTGAAAGATGTCTGGTTTGAATCCACTTAGTGGTACCACAGAAGAAAGGCCTGTCAGTGTACTTTCTTTAGATTACAGCCATTGACGACACTATGAAGTGCAGTTTTTTTTTAACACATATGGGGTTGCCATGATGCAGAATCCAACGGCAATGAGTTTGGTTTGGTATTACTTCTTAAGGTGATTTTAAGTGATAATTACGCAAACATTTAAACCTTAACTGGTATATAATTTTAACATTGCAAAACAACCTATAATTGGCAGGCAAATCTAGCATGTCAATTGTTACATGTGCTTTTGTTGTTAAAGAAAATTGTCAACAGTTGTATGAGCCCCTAATAAAATGTTTAAAAAAAAAAAAAAAAAGAAAGAAAATTGTCTAAGGGTCAAAAGAAGTCAATATAAAGAAAAATATTCATAGTGAAAATGATACATGGAATAGGAAAAAAATATCACCAGATGTTGCTGAAGTGTTTGAGATTGGGAAACACATGGTGTTTTCTTCCATACGTGAATGTTACCTGGCCTTACATTATTTGATGAAAGTATACACTTGATAATAGTAGGATGAAATTGTACGTATTATGACATCACTTTTTAATTAATGAAACAATTTAATGACCAATTTTGGACTCTCTCTTTTCCCCCTTTAACTTTATTAATTTGCACTTAACCCAATTTTCAAGATAAAACCAAAATATTGAAGTTGTGCCAAGTACTCATAACACTTATATAACACTGAATATGTAATGGCTTGACATTTTGTTTTCTAAATTTACATGTCTCTTAGTAAAACTTTTTAAGTGGAGAAATATTATTCCAAGCTTAATGTAGCCATCACCAACTTTTAGGGGTAATAGTATGCCTAACACGATTTACAATGTTTTCATTTTTTAAGTGTACTAGAAGTGATAGACCACGCCAAAGATACTGCTTTTCAAAATTAGTGCCATCTGTAAAAGCCTAGCACTAACTGATTACATTAGAAAGGAAAATATACTGATTTTATTGGAAAGGATAGTGATGTTTAAAATATGTGAGATCTGATGTGCATGAATTAGGAAGGGATATTTTGGGGACACAATTATTCAATTAAAACTATTTAACAAAGTGATCCATTTTACTAGGCTTAACAAAAAAATACAAGATCTGATCTTGACTTAGAAGAAACCAGAAGTGAAACCTCCTAAAAGTTGAGTTCATTGAAATGATTTATGGTATAAAAGACTAATGTTTTAATAATGTATTAATTAAATAATTTAAACACATGTGAAATTTTTATTTCATTTGAAAACTTATCATGTTTGCTCTACTTGGTATTTCAAATCCCAGTTGAGTTCTAGTGGAATCTTACGTTGAGCTGTCTCTTCCACCACAGTGTTTTCTGATTGGTTAAGAGAAGTGATTGGTCTGAGGTCAAAGTCCAGTGAAGGAAGACACTCACGGGAGCAGTTTGGAAAGTTAACAAATGGCCATATATTTCCATTGAGTTTCCTTATTAACTCTTGTCCTTTCCTAAGTCATGAGAATTGTATTGTCTACTATGAAGGAGGTGGCTTGAGTGAAAGCAAGAGAAACAAAGGACAGTTAATTTAAGACTTCAAAGAGTAGATTTCCAGCAGTGGAAATGAGGCCTGACCATGACCATGAGTCTTCAGTTCTTTGAGAGCATTTTATTTCTTGTCACAGCTGGATACTTGGGATAAGGTATCGGCACGTTTTAACTTTTCTATAAATTTGGATATGAAGAAGAGGTATTAGTTGAGTGTAGTAGGAATGAAAAATAAAGGAAAGGAATAACATGGAAAATGATCTAGAACCACTATTTAATGTGTTATTATATGCTAAGGTGAAATTGAGTTAACTTTTGTACCCTACACAAGATAATACTTTACACAGTAATTATAAAATAAATTTTTCTTTTGATAAGTTTGTATCCTTCAACGCAGAGTTCTTAAGAAAATAATAAAATGTTAAAAAAGAAAAAAAAAAAAGAAAATATTAACAAACAGAATCCTGTAATATATAAAAAGAATCATTCACTGTATACTAAGTCCACACCCAATGTAAAGCAGATCCATTATTCAAAACTCAAGTCTTTGTAATCCACCATACTAACAGTCTCACATGGTGCTAGCAAAGAACATTGGAAGTACCATGGACTGACAGAAGGACAGACACATATCTGCCTTGGAAGAAGTAGAGCCAGAATGCTAACTGTGGTGAAGAAAGCTGATGGTGCCTGGTTATCAAAAGATAAAACGTCTGGGGTCTTAAAGACTTGAAGGTAAACAAGCGGCCATCTAGCTCAGAAGCAACAAAGCCCACATGGAAGAAGCATACCAGCCTGTGTGATCACAAGGTGCCA